TTGGCTTGGCTCAAACAGCCCAGCACAAACAGGAGAGGGGCCTGAGCTCCTCCCTGGGATGTCCCAGGCTATCAGGGCTGCTCCTGCTCCTCTTGGCCTTCCCAACCTACTGGCACTTGTGGGAGTGTGAACTCCGTGCAGATATACATAGTTTATTCTGGTGAACACAAAAGAGGAGAATATGAGAACTATCCTTGAAAATATTAGAAAGACTAAGAAATAAAATAGCTGTTGGGTTAATGCTGGTGGTCTTTTGGTGGCTTTAAATTGTCTTCTTTTTTTTTTTTTAAAGAGATACAACGTCTTGTTATTGTTGTCCATACTCCTCTCGAACTCCTAGGCTCAAGTGGTTCTTCTGCCTCAGCCTCCCAAGTGGCCAGAACTATGGTGCACACTTCCACAACTGGTTCTACGTAACGTTTTTGGGGGTTTTTTTGTTTGTTTTTTTTGGTACCGGGGATCGAACTTGGGTCCTTGAGCTTGAGCAGCAGGCAGTGAAACCACTGAGTTAAATCCCCGGCCCTTTAGGTAACTTTTTGTGTTTGTTTGTTTGTTTGTTTGTTTAAACCAATGCAATGTGGTCGAGAAGTTTCTGCCTTTGAGTTCCACTTCCTACATCACTTGCTCTTTGATACCTGAATAAATCACCTGCCTTCTCCAGTTCTCTTTTCCTGTCTATAAAAGTGGGGATTTGGATTAAATTTTTATTGAGATCCAGGTTAGCAGGGGCACTTTAGGACTTTATCTTAATATCATAATATTAGTAGAACTTCAAGTAAGGAAAAGTAACTGAAGAATTGGAAACAAAAAAAAAAAATCACTGATCATCATGTGTTGCTTATATTAAATATCCTTAGGCTTACAGTACATCTTCCTAGAAGTCCATGAAACCACCCTGGGCCTATCTACCAGCAACTCCTCCCACGGACGACACAGCTTTCCAAACACTCACTCTCCTAACTCTGGTCCTGCTACCCTAGCCTCAAATCAAACAGAAAAGACTAATCTATTTTACAGTCATCCTACTCACCCAAAGCATTCAAATTAAAGGAAAAATGATTTTGTGTTTTGGGGGTCCTTATGGTTTGAGAGCTACACCTAAACCAGGAGTCAGATCACCACTGCCCACCATGGTTCTATCACCAGTTCACTGTGTGACCCTGGACAATCTTCGCCCCATCTACAAAATGAGAAGGTGAATGGGCTTCTGTTTTTGAGCTCCTGCTCTGCTCTACGGGTGCCTACCAAGGCTGGGAGAGGCCCAAAATCTGCAGGCCTGTGTTCTCCAACGAGTACAGAAAATAGTAGGCATCCTCTAGTGTCCCAAGCAGGCTGGTGTCAGAACTAGGAGCACAGCCAAGACTCTGCACTCAGCTCTGGAAGCCAGAAATCAGGCGAGATACACAGGGCCAGGTGGGCTCCCAGGTGAACACAGGCCACTCTGGCCAGGGAATGCTGCTGCAAACCAAGGCTTTCTTACACAGATTTCTTCTCTTCCTCCTAGGAGAAGCAAGACAAGGCCTCCAAGGGAATCAGAAATGTGATTCTGCAACAGACCACAACAAGGTGCGGAGTTGAAGTTTCTCTGTTAGTACTGTTCAGGTCTGATAGAATGTACAGGAAAATGTGCATGTACATGTACACCGCGATGTACATTCATGAACACCTCTGTGAAACAAGCACCCCAGATCAAGAAACAGAATAACACCTCCGTCCCAGAAATCCCCTCCATACCTTCTTACGACCTCCAGTCCCCTGCACAAGGCCACCACTCAGACTTTTAGTACCATGGATTCATTCTGAGCTTAACCTCTTCTGTTCAACTGTACGCATGTGGGTGTCATGACCGTCCCGGGCAGCAGGCTGTCCTTCATGGGCACTGTGGCATAGTATGGACTCAATGAAGAGCTAAAATCGGCAAGATGGCCCTGAGCGTGGGCTAGGGTCCTCACACGCAGAGGAAACAAGTTAACATTCAGACCCCAGAGATCCAGTTGACGCCCTACACGCTTCCTGCAAGGTCTCACACCTTCCTCCTGGGGGGTGCTGAGGCAGGAGCAGTACCTGGATGCCCCACGCAGAGTGGGGTCCATCTCACTGGACCACGGGTCTCATTTCATCCCACAGCCATGAGGTGGATACTGTCATCAGCCCCATTTTATAGACAAGAAAACTGAAACTCAGAGAGGTTGAGAAAGCTGTTCTAAAGTTGCACAGCAAGGAAGAGGCCCCAGCCCCCAAGACCTGTGACCCAAAGGCCAAACCTCTTGATCATTCTGTGTTGGCAGGGAGTTTGCCAACTGACTCAGCCCCCACCTGTGTCTCCAATCTCACCTAGCACAGCTTGGCCTTGGCTCTGTTTTCCTGCTAATATCAGATCCAGGCTCTTCCTGCCTCAGATGAGGCTCTTCTTGCCATGCTATTGCACGTTTTCCCCTTGGTTCTCTAATTAACAGTCTTGCTGTGCACACGGTGCATGCCTGTAATCCCAGCTCCTCAGGGGCAGATACAAGTTCAAACCCAGGCTGAGCAACATGGTGAGAACTTGTCTCTCAAAAGAAAAGAAAGAGGGCTGGCCATTTAGCTCAGTGGTTTTGCCACCTGCTGCGCAAGCGCAAGGACCCAAGTTCGATCCCCAGTACCAAAACAAACAAACAAAAGAAAAGACAGAAAGAAATCAAATTAGCCTTTCACACACCTTATGATGAATCACCCTTCTGTGTTCACTTTAATGCCTATCACCCACTGCAAGAGGACAGGAATGATCGATTTTGTTTACCACTGCCTTGGGCAGTGTCTGGAACACAGTAGATCCTTAATATGTTCAGTGAAGAAGGAGAGAAGGATAAGGCTGTCCCTGAAGACAGCTGCAGTTCCAGCCTATTCTATGACCTCCCCCTTTCCCACTCTAAGCCTGAGTTTCCACAATTGTCAAATGAGGGTCCTGGAAGAGGGGCCCTCCAATGGTCAGTGTCCCTGGCCTCCAGAACACAAATCCTAGCACTATCTGGCCCTCAGGGCTCTGCTGTCTCTTACCCATATTTTGCTAGGCTAGCACTTTGTTTTTTGGAACAGGGTCTCTCTAAGTAGTACAGGCTGGCCTTGAACTCACTACGTAGACCAGGCTGGCTCAAACTCACAGCAGTCCTCCTGCCTCAGCCTCCCGAGCATGTGTCATCACACCCAGCTCTGCTTAGCACTTTAGACAAGTGGGGAGACAGAGGATCCCAGACTGGGAAGTGCACGGGGCCTTCCCACCTGTTGTGGAGAGGACCAGAACACAGGAGTTCTCCTCTAGTTCTAACAGCTCTTGACCTTCACGAGCCAGAGTAGGTGAGAGCAGGATGATGAAGGAATAAACTGCCTCCACTTCCTTCTTCAGAGTCCCTGCCCCACCCAACTCTCCTTTCCTCTGCCCCCTGCCCTGAGTCTAACCCAACCCTGCCCTGTCACTGCACATGCAGCTGCCCTTCTGCAGGCTGAGCTCCAGCGGGGCAGAGACCGAGTCGCACGCATCTTTGAACTTAGTGCAGAGCCTGCATTCAGGACAGGGCCAACGTGAGACCACCAAACCAAAGGCCAGGGGCGGGGCCTGCCCAGATCTGCTTCGGAGGACACCAGGTCCCGAGAGCAGAGGGTCCTGAGGCTGGGGGAACCTGGACTCCGTAGCACCCAGCCTTTGGCCCTCTCCCTCCTGTCACCCCTTCTGCAGGCCCCACAGCAGTAGCAGCCAGTCTCAAACAGAAGAGGAGTCACCCGAGGTCCAAGGTCCCCACCCGGCTGGCCAGGAAGACACTCCCTGAATGGCCGCACCTGCCACTTCCCATTTTCCTCTGCATAAGGCACAACTTGCTTTGAAGATCTTTCTGTTTGTTTTTAAAAATAAAAGAAAGAAGAGAATGAGTCCTGATCCAGAGTTCTCTGCAGGGAAAAGGCCTCCTATTTGGCCTGTTCGACACAGCAGACTCATGCCAGGCTTTTACTCTCCAGGGTGTGTGAGAGGTGAGGCTGGGCACCTGGTGAGCATGTGCGCAAGGGCCATGCTCACGGGAGGTGTGTGGGATGGGTGGGCAGGTACAGATCAGATGACTGGAACTCCTGCTGCCTCAGCAACTCTGGGCAACTTGCTTAAACTTTGAGCCACAGCCTCCTCTGCAAATCCACAGTAAAACGAATCCCTATTCCACAGATGGTTGGAGAATCAGACTTAGGGTTTTAGAACCACTAAACACCATTTATGTATATGCAGGTGTTAGAAGAAAGCCAGGCCAGGTGTGGTGGCGCACACCTGTAATTCTAGCATTCAGGAGGCTGAGACAGGAGGATTGCTGCAAGTTTGAGGTCAGTTTGGGCTATATATATATAGCGAGCCCAAGGCCACCCTGAATGACATAGCCCAATTCTGTCTCAAAAAACAATGACTAAAGATAAGAACCAAGATACTCATGTAATGGTACAAGATCTCAATGATGAATGTAACTGTATTTATACCTAAAATGTACCAGTAAACTTAATGGGGAAAAAAACCACAATGACTAGGACTGGGAGGGGAGCTCAGTGGCGCTGCGCCTGCCTGGCAAGTGCAAGGTCCTCAGTTCAATCCCTGGTACTGGAAAAAAACAAAACAAAAAAATGACAAAAAAGAATCATTAAGATTTGTCACAGCCATCAGTCAGGTTATGCTGAAAACACAGATCATAATAACTCTAGCCCCAGGGCCAGGGATTTAGCTCAGTGGTTCTGCTGCCTTCCTCAAAAGTGCAAGGTCCCGAGTTCAATCCCTGGTACCTAAAATAAAACAACTCCAGCCCCTTCTACCTTATTTCCAGAGAGATGACCATGTGCAGAGTCACTCATGATGATGAATAAACCCTGGGCTTGTTTTGAGAGCCTCCCAGTGGGCCTGTAACAAGCCCATGCCTTACAACACCAACACACAGCGACCAAGAGAAGCACAACCAGCTCCACCTCGCCCCTCCGCCTCCCACTCCACCTCTTACCTGCCCAGCTCCTCTCCAATATCGTAAAAGTCCTCCACCTTCTGTTGCTTGAACAACTCCATGTCTGGGCTCCTCATGGAGGCCTGGACCCTACAACCCTGAAACGGGGAGAGGCCTGAGGTTAGGACACCATGGAAATGAGCACAAGCCTGAAGTCACCGGCCACAAGGCAGCTAATAATTTCACAGCGACCCCCAGCCTGGCTCCTTCCACAAGAACTGCCCCACTCAGGCAGCTTCTTGCCTGTGGCCAATGATGTCTGGTTCTTATCTCATTCAACTTAATTTTTTTTTCAGGTCTGGGGATTGAACCCAGGGCCTTGCATTGCTAGGCAAGCACTCTACCACCAAACTACATCTCCAGCTCTTTTTAAAATCTTTATTTTGACACAGGGTTTCAGTAACTTGCCCAGGCTGCCCTTGAACTTGTGATCCTCCAGCTTCAGCCTCCTGAGTAGTTGAGATTACTGCTATGCACCACTACACCCAGCTCTTAATTCAAATCTGTTTAGCATATGTGCTGGCAAAGCAAGCACAAATCACATTTACTAAGGGAACAGAAAAAAAGCCCTCTTCACATCTTCAAATCTACCTGCAGAAGATCATGGAAACAGACCTATGATGAAGTTCAGCTATTTGGATCCACTGGGAAGAGAGGCAGCTGAGGTACAGTAATGAAAGCACTCATTTTTGAGTCAGGCATCCCGGATTCAGTCCCAGCTTTGCTTGGGTGAGACAGTTAAGCTGCCAATCTTAACCTTCTCATCTGCAAAATGGAGCCAATACTGGAAAAACCAAGTCAAAGTCTTGAGACTCTTGTAAATGATTAAATGCTGACAAAGGTGAGGGATTATCATGACCTCCACCCACTCCGGGATTGAGAGTCTGGACGGATTGGCAAACGTTCTCTCATCACCCCAAGATGGGCAGGAACAGTGTGACAAACTTCAACAGGCACGGGGAGTCAGGACCCTGAGGGGCTCATTCCACTTTGTCCAAAATGCACTCTGCGACCTCATGGCTTGGCATCGGGTCCCCAGTTCCCTCCACTGTGGGATGGAGTTAGCTCTGACCCCTCAGGGCACCTCAGGGAGAGCCCTGCAGTGTGCTCATCATGTATCATCTCCCCTGGGATCACCAGTTCCTGGGACAGCTGTGTGCCACCTAGCAGCACCTCAGGGCCAATCACAAGGACAAAGCCAACAGCCTGGACCTGCTTCCTGGGGTCAATACTTAGTGAAGCCCTCTTGGAGCCCACTTGGGCTGCCACAGACAGCTCTTCTTCCGCCAGATGATCAGATGCCAACCACGCCCAGGCCCCAGGAACCCCAGAAGACTATTTTCACCTCCATCGTTCCAAAGGACACATCACCAACACCTAACTAGTCTAACTCTCAGGGGACCTACACATTTCGTCCCTCCCTCCACACCTCTGTCCCCCACAAACCAGATGCTACCACCTCCCTCCCTTCTGTGGAGGCACACACATCTCCAAGACCCCCAGGCAGAGAGCTAGCCTGGTGCCAGGGCCCCCTTACTCTCAGGGTCACCTCCTGGTCTTGGCAGCCATGGCCCATCATACACTGCCCTCCCTGCTTGGTTCCCACTGGCCTGACAATGGGACACTGGGAAGGGCCAACCCAGCAGCCCCACTGGGGCCCAAAGCAGGTTGGCACCCTCCCTGGGCCTCAGTCCCCTCCTCTGTCAACAGGGATGACACCCTCTATGTCACCTATTCACACCTGCTTCCGAGTGGGGTTCCACTGTGATAAGGCCAGAAACTGCCACACACATACGTAGGGTGATCATTATTTGACTCATTTCCAGAGCATTGTTTGTGTCTCGGCTTCCCACGCCGTTGAGACAACCAATTCAGTTACTTTCTCAGGAAACAGTTTTGGGGTTTCTCTAGCAAGTCTGGCTTGACCAGAAGCAGAAGCCAGACCTACCCTCACCCACCATCCTGGCAAAACTACTTCTGAGACGAGCCAGTGGGGAGGGTGGGACCACTGTCCACCATCTTTTTGCTGAAAAAATTCTTCCAAAGAAACCATTGGGGTCAGGTATACTAATTCCACACAGCTACTGGCAGACATAAGCAGAAAACTCCAAAAAATTTTGTGGGCAGAAACCCTGACAGTGGTCCCAGTAACAGCTAAGGTCTTCCACTTGGTGAGAGGCCAGCCTCATTTGCCATCACTGGATTCGAAGCCCAGTTGCCCAGTAAATGGCTCCACTTCCTGATTGGCCAGGGGCAGGGGTAAGGGAACCCCCAAAGGACAAACTTGGTCCAATAGTTTGTTCTCATTTCACCTTTCCAGCTTTAGCTCCCTCTCCCACATAGCCTATTTTTGTTTCTTTGTTTTGAGACAAGGGCTCACTATGTAGTCCAGGCTGCCCTTGAACTCACAGGGATCCTCTTGCCTCAGCCTCAAAGGAATCACAGGCATGCACCATCATGCCCGGTTTCCACATATCCTATATTACAACCAAAGCAGAACTTTCTGATTCCCCCCAAAATTTCCATCCCTGCCATGCCTTAGCTCAAACAGGACCCTTTCTACAGAAAGTCCACCTAGCAAAACTGATCCCTTCCCACAAGCCCCAGCACTAGCTAATGCTACCAGCTCTGCAAGCTCCATGATCCTTCCTCCCTCACAACAAATGGAAATTCTCTCCTTCTTTAAACTCCTGAAGTGTTCTTTATACACTTTTAGGGTTAGAATTTTCCTCGTTCTGGCTCTTAATATAATCTATGTTTATGTCTATGTCAACCTCAGAGGGAAAGAACACAGGTTCCACAGTCATAGAGGCCTGGGTTCAAATCCCAGATCTGCCATTTAGGAATGCACTGTCCTTAATCAAACACAAGTAACATTTCTGAGCTTCAAATTAATTCCATGGAAAAGTGTTCCAGACAAAGGCTGCTGATGGGGAGGATGTGAACCAACTAGAACTCACCAACACTCCCCAGGATTACACACTGGACAGTACCATGCTGGAAAACTGCTGGGTAAATGGAGAAACGCGCACAGTAGTTTTCTAGAATGTTCCATGCTAGAATGGTCACAGCAACACTATCAGTGATAACTAAAAATTAGAAACAACCAAATGATCATCAATAGAAGAATGGGTAGATCAGTTGAGGTCTATGTATACAACGGAATCATTATACAGCAATGAGAATTAACAAACTACTGCTCCCTGCTACAACAGGGATGAGTCTCACTAACACAAAGCCGAATGGAAGAAACAAGATGCCAAAGATGACATACTTTGTGATTCCATAAATCTAATCTATGGTGTTGGAGTCAGACCAGTGGTTACCATTGGTGGGGGGTGGTGACCGAGAAGGGGACATGCAAGGCTTCAAGGTCTTGAGAAATTTGTTTCTTAATCTGAGTGGTTGTATCCTGGATATATGGGATGTACATTTATGTACAATCAAAATTGTACATAATTTAAAAATTAATACCTACTTTATGGGACATAGAAGATAACCTATGTGAAATGTTTAAAGAGTTCCTAGATCTTATGGTTTGGGTTAAAAATGTCCCCCAAGCTGGGTGTGGCAGCACACACTCGTGATCCCAGCACTCTTGGAGGCTGAGCCAGGAAGATCACAAGTTTGAATCCACCCTGGATAATTTAGCAGCTTAGTGAGAGCCTGTCTCAAAGTCAACAATAAAAAATGGGCTAGGGATGTAGCTCAATGGGAAGGCAATGGGTTCAATCCTCACTACCACAAAAAAAGTCCCCCAAAAGGCTTCAGAGGAGGGGCTTTTGGAAGGTGGCTGGGTCACAGTGCCACTGTCTTCATCGATTGATGAAATCACAGCTGAATGGGCTCTCAGGAAGGGAAGCTATGTGGAGGAAGCAGGTGCATCACTGGAAAAGGGTCCATCCTGTCCCTAACCCCTGACTCTCAGCATCTCTGCTTCTGGCTCCTCCACAATGTTCTGTGTCACCACAGCCCGGACAATAACGGAGCTCACTGACCACGGACTGAAATCTCCAAAACTGTGAGTCAAAATACATCTTTCCTCCTCAACGGTGTTCAACTCAAGTACTCTGTGATAGTGACAAAAAGCTGACTACCACACTGGACAATCCCAATCAATGAGTTCCTTCCCTCCAACCTGTTGTCTTGAGGTCCTGTGGAGACAACTGTCACATTCTCACCTCTGTCCCCTTGTATCAGATGGCACACAGCGGCACTCTGTAACACTGGCTGATTTGCAGTTAGTGTCCAGCCTCCTTTCTCAGGGCCACACTCAAAGACCTCTTGAGGTAAACCAGCTGGCAACAGCTGGAAGCCCTTTCCTAATACCCACAAGATCAATTTCTACTTGATCAGTTTACAAATATGAAAGTCAAGAGGAGAAACTCCAGGGTGGAACTGCAGACCCCAACCAGAACCCAGAGAAGGACCCGGCCAGAGGCACCCCTCGGGCCCTGAAAAGCCAAAACCTCAAGGGCACAGGGAGGACACGGCTGTGCCTGTGCCGAAGGGAGCAGGCCGTCAGTCCAGAGCTGCCATCTCCACACCCACCTTTCTCCTAATGGAGTCCTTAGAATTCCTGTTCATGCCACCTCCCTTAGCCCAGGCAGCTCTCCAGGGGATGGCCCATCTCCTAGGACACCACAGAAGGGACCTCAGGCACCTGTTTAGGGATTTGGAGACTCTGCTTCAGGATCCCAGGGTGAGGAAGGGTCGTTCCACACTGGCCACGCTGCACACTGGGTAAGAACTCGTTGTGAAACAAAAGATGGAAACCACAGCTGTCTGGTGAGGCCGCTGGCCTGACTAATGGAGGAAACTGAGATCCAGACAGGGGGAGGCCCTTGCTGACACTCACAGGGCCAACCCATGCAGCCCCAGAGCTTCTGTGATAGACACCCTACCCCTCCCTGCAGGCTTAAGAAGTCAGCCCTGTCCTGGGGGACCACCCAGGAGGGGGCGTCCAGCCCCGGAAGTCACCTACAGCCACCAAGTCCTCACTCCTCTGCTCACAGCTCACTCTGCGGGGCAGCTCCCAAGTTCCTCGCTTGCCTCACCCAGGGTGAGCAAGGCAGAGGCCAGCAGGAGTGCGGGCCAAACATACAAGACCTCCGGACTCGCACCTGCATTAGGGACGGCCGCAGAGAACGTTGCCAACAGCAGGAGGAGGCCCGCATCACAGCCCTCCCGCCAGTCCTGGGCCGGGTCTCTGGGGCTGAGGAGCAGGCGAGTTCACCCACATCTCCCAAATCGAGGTGATCAGGGTCAGCTCAGGTCTCATCCTATCAGCCAGAAACCTGCCCCGAGAACAGCATATGTCCAGCCACATCCCCACAGCCCTGCCCCCGCCCCGAGGCCCCCCGCGGAAACTGCTGGGCTATCAGTGGGGTCCCTGTCGGTGGCAAAGACGAGTTATTGGGGGAAACAGGTAAGAGAGAAGCAGCCCCCCTCGGTCAAGACTCCCCCGAAATAACTGCACAGGCAGTAGGCGCACAGTGTGGGGGAGCAGTGCAGCAGCCCCCCCTGCCTCCACTGGGCTCTGGAGATCGGGGTGCCTCTGCCCAGTGCGCACTCCTCTCTTGCCACTGCCTGTGAGGCCTCAGAGACGCTCGCCTCCCTGCGCTGAGAAACTCATTTACACGTTGCCGAGTTACAGTAGGGTCCGCCAGACCTACACTAGCCACGGTGCACCCTCATGCCCGGCCCAAGGCTGCTCCTGGGCCACGCACACCCACTTCGGGACCGTCACGACGCCCTTCTTGGTCCCCGCCTCAACCCGCAGGGACCAGCTGGTACCCTGCACGTCCAGCGCTGCCGGCACCCGGCTCCTGCGGCCGGGCGCACGGCTGCCCAGGAGGCGCACTGCGCGAGACTCTGCAGTATCACCTGCCGGGCAGGGCCAGGGCAAGAGCAGTGGCGACAGACGCTGAGACCCAGCCTCCCTCCTTCGGGGCAAGCCTGTCCCCTTCGAGGGGGCCTCCTCGATGGAAGTCTGGCTCCCATCTCCGCCCGCCGCCCCACCGGCTTCGGGTCAAAGTATCAGGCTCGGAGGGAGCGTCCGGGGTCGCCGCTCACAGAGGCGACGGCGTCTCGGGGACAGAGCCCCGGGCTCGGCCCCGGGGGTGTCCCAGCCGCTGCCTTTCGCGCACCCGGTCCCCCCCCCCTCGTCGGGCCCGCGGGCCGCGCTACTCACGGCGGGAGGCTGCGCTGCGACGCTCGCGGCGGGGTGCGCGGCGCTCGGCCTGAGTCCCCGGCCCTCGGAGCCCCGGGGCAGCGAGGGGCGGAGCGGCCGGGCCCGTCCCAGGCGCCGGCTGCACGGTGCTCGGGGCGCCCCCTGCCGGAGCCCCCGCGGCCCGCCAGGGTGCGCCTCCCCCACGGGCCGAGCGCAGCCTCCGAGGACCGGCGAAGGCGAGCGCAGCCCAGGAAACCCCTGGCGTCCTTTCTGGCTTTGCCTCTCCCGTGCTGTGCGGCCTCGGGCAGATCAACTGTCCTCTCGGAGCCTCGAGTGCTGACTCCAGTGATAACGCGTGCTATACACCCTGGCACCGTTGCTGGGGAAAATACTATTTCTGTGCCCCTCTTCCCCATGCCCCACACCCATGAGGATGGGAGTCTGACCAGGACTAGACCCTTCCCCTTCCAGCCAGGATCCTGGAGCCGCCCGGCCCGCAGGCTTCGCAGGCCTCCTGCACCCCCAGCCTCCCAGCGTCGGCCTCATCTCCCCGACAACCCCTTCCTGACAAAAGAGTGAATTCTTCCTCTCTTCCCTCTGCCAAAAACTCCTGGGGTGGGGTGGGGGGGACCATAGCGGAGGAGGTGATGGGGAGAAAGAAGTGGAAACAGATTCAGCCGAGTGCAGTGGTCTTTCAATTCCAGAGGCTTAGGGTAGGAACCCGAGACTCCTGCGAGGGATTCGATCTTTAAATCTCCCAGAGAGCCAAGCAAGCCTGAGAATCTCAGAAGTGCAGAGCCGGGTCCGAAGCCCTCTCTGCCAGCCCCGGCGGCCTGGGCCTGACTCCGTCCGCCGGGAAGGAGAGATCCCTTCTGGTAGCTTCCGGCTGAGCCGTGGGGGTGCTGGCTGTGAGAGGCGACCAGTGTGGGCCTCCGCCCTGTGGCTTTTCGGACTGGGCTACCGCCCGATATGGAGAGACCCTCACCCCACCCCGGGAGCACAGCCTCGCCTGGGGACACCCGTGGGGCGGCTCCCGGAGCTCCCTGCAACCGCCCAGGCTTCCGAAGTCGGCTCGCAGATGGGAAGGACGGCCCTAACCAGCCCAGACTGGGAACTCCAGCAGGGAGTGGCTGGTGACTTGGATGGCCCAGGCGGCACCAAAGGGAGGCGCTCGGAGCCCGGGCTCTGCGGGCTGCTGCTCGGCACCTGGTAGCTTCTCCCTCGCTTCCCTGAGCCTCAGGCTTCAGACCTCTTTCTCAGCCGCGACCTTCCCTCCCTGAGTCAAAACACACATTCTTCTTGCCTTTGGCGCCTGGCGAGAATTAGAAAACACCGCAGCTCAGAGGGTCATTGGCAGTCAACCTGGTCACTTCTGAGATAGGGAAACTGAGGCTCAGAGAAGGGAAGTTACTTGTCCAGGGTCACACAGCTGGTGACAGCCAGAGCTAGATTAAAACCATGACCCAGATTCTCACTCAGCTGATCGATGCCTGCTGTGTGCACTTTCCGCTTTGTAGCCAGGTTGGAGTTTCCTGCTTCTGCCCTTTGGTTTGAACGATTCCTACCACCACTCTCCTCATCCCATCCTGCAGAGTTGCAACTGTCCTTCCTGCTCTTTGCAGGGCCAAGGAAACCTCCCTGGATGACCTTCTAAATCCCTCTTCCTCCGAAGCCCACCCTCCGGTTTGTACCCCTCTTCTCATTCCCTTGTGTTAGGGCTGGTGTCCACTTTTCCTTTCCGCAGGAGCAAAACAGTGTCTTGCCCAATTGGAACCCACCCAGTGCCTGAATCCCAAACCCAGTGAAAGTTTGTTGAATTGAATTGTTAGCGTGGAACTGCCACAGGGAAGGCACGTGACTGTCTTGTTTTCTATTGTCCCCCAAGAGCATCCAGGCACCTGGTAACCTCATGTGGGATAGACACATGGACAGCTAATTTAAGGAGCTTCTAATTGCATTGCTTCTGGCATGTGCTTTACCTTATTCACTTGCTTTACTTTGTGCGTGCGTGTGTGTGTGTGTGTGCGCGCGCGTATGCACACACTACCAGAGACATTTTATTTTACTGAAGGCCTTGACAGTCTTAGGAAACTTTCAGGTATGAGATGACTTTACAAAAAAAATTTTATTGGTACATTTTAGATATACATAATGATCACATTCATCATAGGGAATTGGGATCTGTACATGATATATCTCGCTTCTTTTTTTTCCCCATTCCCCTCCCCTCCCTTCAACTTTTCTTCCCCTCAATTACAAAACTTTGTTTCCAGCTTTTCCTTTTCCTTTTTTTTCTTGTCCCTTCCTTCCTCCCGCCTACCCTTGTTCCCCTTCTCATTTGAACATTTTCGTCCCATTTCCCAATATCTATTATATATTTCAGTCCTTATTTACACTTTCAGTTTCTCACACCAGAAAAATGATGCGTTATTTACACACATGTCTGATTTATTTCACTTAAGAGTATAGTCTCAAGGTCCAGCCATTTAGCTAGAAATGTCTAACCTTATCCTTCTTTATGGCAGAGTAGTACTCCATTGTATTTTTTTTTAAACCACATCATCTTTATCCATTCATTGGTTGATGGGCATTTGGGCTATTTCCAAGATTTAGCTATTACAAACTATGCCATTATAAACCATGAGTGTGCATATATCACTGAGTTAAGATGCTTTTAATTCTTTCAGGAAGATACCAAGAAGGGGAATAGCTGGGTCAAATGGAACCTCTAGTTTTAGTTTTTTGGGAAATCTCCACACTGATTTCCACAGTGTTCGCATCAGTCCCCACTCCCACCAACAGTGGAGAAGGGTTCCTTTTACCCCACACCCCCACCAGCATTTATTATTAGTTGATTTCTTGATAGCAGCCATTCTTTTTGGAGTAAGATGGAATCTCAGTGATGTTTTAATTAGCATCACTTGAATCTCTTGAATGACCAGTGATGGTGAACATTTTTTCTTATTTTTATTTGCCATTTCTATTTCTTCCACTGAGAAGTTTCTATACATTTTAGATTCCCATTTTTAGACTGGATTTTTTAATTTGGGGGCTCTGACTTTTTGAATTCTTTATATATTCTAGATATTAGTCCTTTGTCTGAGGAAAAACTTTTTCCCACACTGTGGGTTGTCTCTTCACTCTGTTGGTGTTTTTGTGTTGTTGTACAAAAGCTTTTTAATAAGATCAGATCCCAGTTGTTGATTCTTTGTGATATTTCCTGTGTAGTCAGGGTTTTTGTTCATAAAGTCTTTGCCTACACCAATGTCTTCAAGAGTTCTACCTATTCTATCTTCCAGTAGACTTAGTGTTTCTGTTTTAATATTTAGATCTTTGATCCATTTCGAATTTAGTTTAGTGCATGGTGAAAGATATGAGTCTAGTTTTAATCTTTGGCAGGAGGAAAGCCAGTTTTTCCAGCACCATTTGTTAAAGAAGCTATCTTTCTTCCAGTGAAGGCCTTCGGGTCCTTTGTCAAAGATAAAGTGGCTGACTATGTCTGGAGTTGTTTCTGCATCTTCTAATCTGTTCCATTGATTCTCAGGCCTGTCTTTTGGCCAGTATCATGTTGTCTTTATCACAATAGCTTTGTAGTATAATTTCAAGTCAGTAATTGTGATGCCCTCTGCCTTGCCTTTGTTCTGCAAAATTGCTTTTTTTTTTTTTCTTTTGTACCGGGGATCGAACTTGGGTCCTTGCGCTTGCGCAGCAGGCGGCAAAAGCACTGAGCTAAATCCCCAGCCCTCCAAAATTGCTTTTGCTATTCTAAGTCACTTCTGGTTCCAAATGAATTTTAGGATTGTTTTCTCTAAATCTGTGAGATATGCTATTGGTATTTTGATTGTGATTGCATTAAATCTGTATAACAATTTTGAAAGTACAACCATTCTCACTGCATTGATTCTTTCTTCCCCAAGTACATAGCTTTCTGTTTTCTGATATCCTCTTCAATCTCCTTTTTTCAGAGTACTGTAGTTTTTTATGTAAAGGTCTTTTACTTCCTTTGTTAGATTGATTCCTAGGTATTTCCTATTTTTTAATATTATTGTGAAAGGTGTGGTCTTCCTAATTTCCCTCTCAGTTTGTTATTTGTATATAGGAATGCTATTGATTTTTTTTTTAATGCTATTGATTTTTGAGTGTTGATGTTGTATCCAGCAATACTACTGAATTTGGTTATTAAATCCAGAGGTCTTTTGGTGGAGTTTTTGGGGTCTTCTATTTAGAGTATCATGCCATCCACAAATAATGGTAATTTAACTTCTTCCTTTCCTATCTTTATTTCCTTCTCTTCTCTAATTGCTTTGGCTAATGTTTTCAGAACTATATTGAGTAAGAGCAGTGGTGGTGGACATCCTTGTCTTGTTCCTGATTTTTAGAGTGAAAGGTTTCAGTTTTTGTCCACTTAGTATTATGTTGGCTGTTGGTTTGTCATATATGGCTTTTATCAGATTGAGATAAAGACCATCTATACCAATTTTCTTCAGGGTTTTTATCATGAATGGGCGCTGGACCTTGTCAAATGCTTTTTCTGCATCTACTGAGAGGATCATATGGCTTTTGTCCTTCGCTCTGTTGATACAGTGTATAACATTTATTGATTTGCATATATTGAACCATCCCTGCATCCCTGGGATGAATACCTCTTGGTCTTGGTGTATAATCTTGATGATTTGCTGCATTCTGTTTGCTAGTAATCTTATTGAGGAGTTTTGTGTCTATGTTCCTTAGGGAGATTGGCCTATAATTCTCCATTTTGGTTGGATCCTTCTCTTTAGTATCAGGGTAAGCTTGCTTCCAGGAATGAATATGGGAGTATTGCTTCCCTTTCAATTTCATTAAAGGGTTTAAGAAGTAGTGGCATTAGGTCTTCTCTAAATTTCTTGTAGAATTCAGCAGTGAATCCATTAGGGCTTGGGCTTTTCTTTGTTGGTAGGTTTTTAATTACATCTTCAATTTCATTGGCTGATATTGGTTTACTCAGAATTGTAATATTTTCTTGATTCAGCTTTGGTTATTTCATATGTATCTTGGAATCTGTCCATTTCTTCTGTGTTTACCATCTTATTACAGGACAGTTTCTCCAAGTAGATATTGATCTTCTGGATTTCTGCAGAA